GGCGTGGGTTGCCAGTGCCCAGGGCCACATGATGGAGAGGAAGGAAATGGAGGGAGCATGCATGCACATTCAATTGCCTAGTGGTGTCTGCATCACCCAGGAGATCACAGCCACAGAGATAAGAAAAGAAGAGTTCTTCTGTTGTCTGCAAAGGTCACTTCCTGGTTTGCATGGAGAAGCCACATGACCCGGAAAAACTGTCTGTGGACAAAGCCGGCTCCCTCGGCCAGTAAAGCGAGGTGAGCGCCGCAACCCCAGAGTCATCCGCAACTGGACTTAACTGTCAGGGGTCCTTTACCTTTACCTTTAGGGTGAACTTGTGACCTGGATTCAGGAATTAAAGTATTTACCATCACAAAAGAATGGCTGGGCTGTCCAGGTAAACCAATCAGTGACCGTTATCCTGGCAGACAGGATTTCTGCTGTAGACCGCCTCCTTCTGTGATGTATATATGATGTTTTCGGGGGTAGTCTTGAGCTGGAGGGTGGGAAATTTCAAAAGTCTATATAAGGGTTTGCGCACCATTGTTCTGGGCTCCTTCCTCCTGCATGTGGTGAGGACCCTGTTGCAACAGCTGAATAAAGATCAGGCTTACTAGCTGCTTTGCTTCTCAATATTCTCTGGTTGGCCTCTGTTATTTTCTCCTACCAATAGGGAACCTATGTAAGGACTCTATATGGGCTCTTGGATACCCCATAAGGGAAAAGGGGAGATTTTGTTTACAACAGGACCTCCTGCTGCTGCCGCGCCGCTGGTGCACAATTTCTGTTCTCATCCTGAAGCAAAGTTCTTAATCCGAGATACTATTTCTGGGCTAGCAAAGTCTGTAACCTGAAGCATCTGTAACCCGAGGTACTACTGTAAGTGAAAAGGAGCCCCATAGTCAATCAGGAATGCTCCGAAAAATATCCTTCTCAACTCACAAAGGCAAGTGGATAATCCTGTATTGCTCCAAAGCTGAGTGGACTGCTTCTAATCTGAAAAAAGTAAGATAAATGCCCTGCCCACTTCAGGAGGAAGCTCATATCTCTGGGATATTGCACACTGGGAGGTTTGAACAATTCTGCTTTATAGTAGAGAAGCTTATCTGAGTAGTTTTCGAGAGCCCCTGGGTCACAATTGCTTAGGCAGAGTTATCTGCAACTTTTGATGCTTTCACTGATGCGGCACGCACAGAACATTTGCTGACTGCATTTGTGTTTTATGTTTGAGATGAAAGCAGGGGGGATAATCACCTTAGCGGATATTAAATTCAAAGAGTCACGATGGAGGAAAGGCGAGGAACATTCCCACTTGTCATTTCCACTGCCTTTGTAAATGAAATATCAAGGCAGCGTTGGCATACAGCTCCGCGGAGGTAGCAAAATGGGCAGATATGGGACAAGTAAGTGTCGCCGGAACAACTTGCAACGCGCCCTGAGAAATCAACAGTATCGGTAAAATGAAAGCAGAGAGAGAAGAGACCCAAAATAGAAATTGTACTTGAGAGACGTTTTCATTATCTGTTAACCAAAACTTCAAGTCGAGGCTTACGCAAGTGCTGGAAAATTCTTGTTTTTATCAAAACTCCGAAGACATAAGAAATTTATTCCATTCTCTGCGCACACATCTGCATGCTGAGTTTCTCCATTACAGAATCAGCCTTACTATGAAAGAATGTGATGTAGTTGTTTTAAGCTGCATTTTCCACTTCCAAACTCCATCTATTTGGGGGAGAGAGATACACTCATTTTGAGTTGTGGGAGTCATTTCCCCTTTCTCCTTCAGGTATGAGAAAGTTGAAGGCCTGCAGTACTTTTGCAACCTTTGAATTGTAGGGCTTATTTATACTTTTTAATTCCCTGATCAAATCTTCATTCACCAAAGTCTCAGGATTTGTGTTTGGGAGAAGGAGAATCTCCACCCCCATTGTTCTGCCTGGACACTGAGGTCCAGCGCCGAAGGCCTTCTGGCGGTTCCCTCACTGAGAGAAGCCAAGTTACAGGGAACCAGGCAGAGGGCCTTCTCGGTGGTGGCACCCGCCCTGTGGAACGCCCTCCCACCAGATGTCAAAGAGAACAACTAACAGACTTTTAGAAGACATCTGAAGGCAGCCCTGTTTAGGGAAGTTTTTAATGTTTGATATTTTATTGTGTTTTGAATATCCTGTTGGAAGCCTTCCAGAGTGACTGAAGAGGCCTGACCAGATGGGCGGGGTATAAGTAATAGATGATGATGATGATGATGATGATGGATGATAAAATGCCCCCGAAATCAACCAATATTCGTCCTGTCCCATTCCCCCCTGAAATCAACCAATATTCATCTTTCAGAATCAAAACTTTCTAGGAAAATACAGCTGGTTGGGTTGTTTTTCTCATCTAGAGAAGATTGCGTTGTCCCATATATACTCACTCAGCTGCTTGAATGTGCAGATGGGGCACTGTGACAGGTGCCACATAATGTCCTCCCAAATTTGTAAGAAGTTGAACTTTTAGTGTGGCAGCGTCTACACTTTGGAACTCAACTCCCTGCCAATTGACATCAGACAAGCATCATCACTTTACTCTTTTTGGCTCCTGCTAAAAACAGTTTAGTTTAGGCAAGGCTGCCCAGACGCATTGAATGTTGATGTGCATTTTCATCCGGTTCTTAACTTATTTTGTTGTGTTTTAAATTATTGCTTTTAACTTTTTCCTGGTCATTTCATTGTTTTGTTCTTTTTGTATACCTCTTTGAAGTAGCTGCTGTTTCCTTACAGTCAAGCAGTATATACTGGTATATTTTAATAAATGAATGAATGAATTTTTTTAAAATGTGGTGTCTTACAATATGGGCACAATGATTTTGACTTCTCTTTCAAGGCTGTGAGGTTACAACAAGGTAATGTATGTGTGGAATGCTTTGAACATTACCTGAAATGGTAAGTAATCAAAAATCAAGGTCCCCAGCTCTTGAATTCTGAGTTAAGCATCTCTTGCAAGCTTACTAATTAATCTAAATAGTGGATAAGGTCTTGCAAAGGCTCTAGTTTGGATCTAGCAAGGCAGGTCCTACAAGGCCTGGAAGGACAGGCCTGTGATACAGCTCTGTGAGTGCAGCTTTCTCCCGATTGAAGTGCAGAGTGTTTGAGGACCAGGAGATTCACAGGGAAACCAAAATGCTTGTTTACAAAGCTGTTGTACTACCAACCTTACTGTATGCTTTTGAAACATGGACCACTTATAAACGCCATCTCCAACTCCTTGAAAGATTTCATCAACAGTGTCTCCAAAAAATTTTATGCATCACTTGGGAAGACAGATGAACTAATACCAGTGTACTGGAAGAAGCAAAGATCACCAGTGTTGAACCAATGATTCTTCAACATCAACTTCGTTGGACTGGTCATGTTGTGCGGATGCCTGATTATCGTCTTCCAAAGCAACTACTCTAGTCCGAACTTAAAAATGGAAAACGTAATGCTGGTGGTCAACAAAAGAGGTTTAAAGACTCTCTCAAGGCAAATCTTTAAAAATGTACTATAAACACCAACAATTGGAAAACACTGACCTGCAAGCGCTCCAATTGGAGAACAGCCTTTTCCAAAGGTGTCATGGGCTTTGAAGAAGCTTGAACTCAGGACGCAAGGGAGAAACATGCTACGAGGAAGGCACGCTTGGCAAATCCACACCGTGATCAACTCCTGCCCGGAAACCAATGTGCCCACTGTGGAAGGACGTGTGGATCCAGAATTGGCCTCCACAGTCACTTACGGACTCATTGTTAAGTCCGTGTTCATGAAAGACAATCTCACTCAGCTGTGAGTGATCACCAGAGAAGAAGAAGAAGAAGAAGAAGAAGAAGAAGAAGAAGAAGAAGAAGAAGAAGAAGAAGAAGACAGACTTCGTCTAACAAATCTTGCAGCATTTTTCTGGCATAGGAATGAGGATTTTCACAGGAACATCAGGTAATTTAGGATGGCGGAGTTTTATCTCATCCCATCAAGCTCCTGTGGAGCTTATCTCAGACAAGACAAGCTGCACAATGCTGTCAAATGAAGCAAATGAACTTCCTCAGTTAGCACTCCAGAGGAAATCTTTTGCAATTCTTTAATACTTTCCCAAATTGCCCTTTACTGAATTACTCCTGACTGCGAGATAAAAGTGGTCCACTCTGAGGACTACGAAGATGAAGGGGAAATGTGGCTTCGGTAGACCTGCTGTGCTTCCTGATCTAATTGCTCTCTGTGAGTGCTGTTCACATGGAATTCAGTCTCTTAGGTTCATCAAGCCTCCTCTTAAATCCAGCACTCTCCTTGGCTTCCATATTTAAAAATAGCTGTCTGATAGATTTTGACAGCACTTTGCAAATGAGCAAGGTGAAATCCTGTTTCTCCTCTTCTCTCCCCAGACTTACCTGGAGGAAATAATGAACTCTGAAAGTTGTCAGGTGTTTAAATTTTCTAGCAACTTTCGGGCTTGGGAGAGGGTTGGGTCTCTGCCGCAATACAGTGTTTGCTTTGATTCTATTATAGTTTAATTGCTTTTTTACTATTATTTTTACATGTTTTTGGCTTCTTGTATGTCGTCTATTTTGTTTTAATTTGTGTAGGCTGGCTTTGGTAATAAGCACAAATTTTGCATTGTTGTCATCTCAGCTTTAATTTTTGTTCAAAGAACCACATTTATTTTCTCTCTCCCCCACCCCCATTTATTTATCACCTCCTTTTGGAGACGAATGAAAGCATTTTTGCGGATTGGCACTGCGGATTGATCCTGCCACTATTGATGCGTTAATTGTTTGATTGTTTTCGATTTCGTTGGCTTTCTTGCTGTAAAGGCTTTTAATCCATGGCTGCTGCTGCTGTTTTTAGTGTCGCAAACTAAATCATTGGAAAGTTGTACAAAGAACAGAGAGTGAAAGGAAACATGGGTGGATGTAGCCCTGGAGTGATGGACATAACTCTATTTAAGTACAATCATAAAATCATAGAGTGGGAAGGGACTATGTGTCCAACCCCCTGAAATTCAGTAATCGTTTGCCCAACATGAGACTTGAACCCAAGACCCCAAGATTAAGAGTCTCACACTCTACCAACTGAGCTATTCATGATTGTTATCCCCCCCCCACATGTCTGCATAACCCCTTCTTTGTATCAGATGATTCTAACAAGTAATTTTTAGGGTTAAAAGGTAAAGGGACCCCTGACCATTAGGTCCAGTCGTGACCGACTCTGGGGTTACGGCACTCATCTCGCTTTATTGGCCAAGGGAGCCGGCGTACAGCTTTCGGGTCATGTGGCCAGCATGACTAAGCTGCTTCTGACGAACCACAGCAGCGCACAGAAACGCCATTTACGTTCCCGCTGGAGCGATACCTATTTATCTACTTGCACTTTGACGTGCTTTCGAACTGCTAGGTTGGCAGGAACAGGGACCAAGCAACGGGAGCTCACCCCATTGCAGGGATTCGAACCGCCGACCTTCTGATCGGCAAGTTCTAGGCTCTGTGGTTTAACCCACAGCACCACCCGCATCCCTAATTTCTAGGGTTAAATGAACTTAAAAGCTGACAGTTAGAACGTTAAGTATTACTTTTTTTTAAAAAAGCACTCGGTGCAGACACATCAAATGCACTCTGAGCTGTGCTAAAGGGCTACAGCTCAGTGGTGGAGCACTTGCTTGGCTTGTAGAAGGTGTCAGGTTCAATCCCTGCCCTGGAAACATTCCCTACCTGAGAGCCATCGCCTTCCCCAACCTGGTGCCCTCCAGATGTTGTTGGACTACAGCTCCCATCAGCCCCAGTCAGCAGGGCAAACAGCCTAGGATGATGGGAGTTGTAGTCCAAAACATCCAGAGGGCATGCAGGTTGGGGAAGCCTGGTATGGACAATGCTGAGCTACATGGACCAATGGTCAGCCTCAGTGTAAGGCAGTTTCCTTTAATATATATATATATATATATATATATATATATATATATATATATAGTTTTTCCAAATTTATAACAAACATAGAAGAAAAACATTACAATATATAAAAAACCCCGAACAAACATATATCCTAACTGCTAAAATCCCAATTTAATTATCATTATTGGGTGACTTCCTCAAATCCCCCTAGCTGAGTTTCCATATAACTCATTGTAGCAGTTTTCCAATATCTAGTTTCAAATAAAGTTAACTTATTCAGTTAGCATCTTTCTTTCTTTTCATAGTATTTTCTATCCATAATGTTATATTTAACTCCTAGGCCAATTTGGTACTTACAAGTAATTCTACTTATGTTATCTTAGAAGATCTAACTAAATAGTCCTTAAATTTCTTCCGTTCTTCTTGATGCTCCTCCTCTTTCTGTTCGTGGATTCTTCCAGTCAGGTTGGTCAGCTCCAAAAAGTCCATCATCTTCATCTGCCATTCCTCCACTGTTGGTATTTCTTGTAGTTTCCAGTTTTTTGCTAACAAAATTCTTGCTGCAGTTGTGGCATACAAAAACTATCTAATATCTTTCTTGGGCAATTCCAAACCTATTATTCCAAGTAGAAAGGCTTCTGAAGCCAAGAATAAAATATAAATTACTAACAGATGTGAAGGAAAGAGGAGGCTTTGCCCTGCCAGACATGAAACTATATTATGAAGCAGCTTGCCTTTGCTGGTTAAAGGAATGGATTAAATTAGAAAATACTGAGTTATTGGATTTAGAAGGTTTTGATAACAGATTTGGGTGGCACGCATACTTATGGTGTGATAAGAAGAGAGTTCATAAAGGATTTGGGAATCACATCTTCAGGAGTTCATTAATAGAAGTTTGGGACAGGTACAAAAGCCTTCTGGAGCCAAGAGTTCCACACTGGTTATCTCCGTTAGAGGCTATGAGTGTAAAGAAAATTAATATGAGAGGGAAATGGGCCACATACGGAGAATTAACAACTAAAGAAGGAAGAAAATGGAAACTAAAACCATACGTATATGTTAAAGATTATGTGTATGATTGGTTGCATTACTTTCAGGTAAATGAAATGTTTTAAAAAGATATAAAGGAAAGTGGATATGCAGAAAAAGACTCAAAGTTCCAAACAGAGATAATAAATAATGAATATAAAACTCTGTCAAAAATGTATAAGATATTGCTAGAATGGTTTACGAAAGACGAAGAGGTTAAATCGGTAATGATACAGTGGGCCAAAGACTTTGGACATAACATTCAATTTGAAGATTGGGAAAAATTATGGAAGGAAAGTTTAAAATTTACTGCATGCATGGGGTTGAAGGAAAATGTAATGAAAATGTTTTACAGATGGTATATCACCCCAGTAAAATTGGCAAAAATGTATAAAACATGTAATAAGTGTTGGAAATGTAAAGAAAAAGAGAGAACTTTCTACCACATGTGATGGGAATGTAAGAAGGTAAAGAGCTTCTGGGAAGCAATATATAATGAATTGAAAAAAATGTTAAAATACACTTTTGTGAAGAAACCAGAAGCCTTTCTTCTAGGGATTACAGGAAAAGATATAAGAAGAAAAGACTATAAACTTTTCCAGTATGCAGTTACGGCAGCAAGAATTCTATTGGCTCAGAAATGGAAACAAGAGGAAATACCGACGATTCAAGAATGGAGAATGAAATTGACTGACTATGCGGAACTGGACAAACTGACCGGGAAAATAAGATATGCCCGAAACCAAAAGTTCATCGAGGATTGGGGAAAATTTGCAGATTATCTGAAAAATATATGTGAGGTGCAAGCAACGCTAGTGGGGTTTCAAGAAGCACTGTAAAATTTTAAGAGGTATTGCTGAAAGTAAATAGAAAAGGAAGGGAAGACAAATGGCAATGCAAATAAAGGAATGCGTACTGAAGGGTAAAAATGGATGATTACCAGAGAAGTTGAAGGAAGTCCAAAATTTGTATTTTGTTAAAATTAGGTAAAATTTGGATAAAATTGTATGATTATATTGAAAACTAATAAAAATTTATTTTTTTAAAAAAAGAAAGGCTTCTGGTTTTTTTCATAAATGTATATTTCAACATCTTTTTCAGCTCATTATAAATCTTTTCCCAGAAGTCTTTCACCTTGGGACACGTCCACCACGTATGATAAAAGGTTCCTTCCTTTTCTTTACATTTCCAGCATAAATTTTCACTCGTATGATAAATCTTTGCTGGTTTTACTGGGGTTAAGTACCATCTATACATCATTTTCATGATGTTTTCTTTTAATATAGTTCAAGCAGTAAACTTAACCCCTTTCTTCCACAACCTTTCCCAATCTTCCAACATTATATTGTGTCCAAGTAAGGCAGTTTCCTATAGTCCTAACTTGGGTACATTTATTTTGATAGATCTAGTCCAGGCATCCCCAAACTCGACCCTCCAGATGTTTTGGGAATACAATTCCCATCATCCCTGACCACTGGTCCTGTTAGCTAGGGATGGGAGTTGTAGTCCCAAAACATCTGGAGGGACGAGTTTGGGGATGCCAGATCTAGTCTGTGACTTGGGCAACCAGCACCCAATGAAAAGGTCTTGCCAATGTTGTTTAAAAGATACCCTTCTAAAATCCCTTAAAACCAGCCCTGCTTCCTAGCATTCCTGGCAGCAGTGGAAATGGACCCCTGTTGGTACATTGAACAAAAATGTTTGTTTGTGTTCCAGGAAGGGTATTGCTCTGGTGCTGTGTGTTGTGCTAAAGAGACGAAAAAGAAAACACCTTCAAGAACAAACAGTCCCATCGATTTGGCTCTGTTGTTCCCACGAATAATTGTTATGTTTCTTCCTAGAATGTTTAGGGATGCTGCAGGGAGGTAAACAAGCAAGTCATCCAATGGGCATCAGAATATGTTGTCTTTAATAAAGACGCCACTTACCTCCCCGGAACAAACAATAGAGTGATGACGGCTAAATAACTCTTGTGTTAGCAAGATTGCTTTCTCGCCAGTGTTTCCTGAACACAGCACTCCCAGCCAATTAATGCTGGTAACAAGGCTGTTTCTTTGGTGACGTAAACTTAAAGGGCTCACCATGTCCTTTGCCAGCAGATTCTCAGAAGAAGGAGAACGTGGTAGGAATGAGCAACCACTGCACATGGTCAGGAACGAGATGATGCTCATCATAACCTTTCACTTGGAAGCAGGAGTAACAGGAAAATCTGGGGATAGGTGCAGTTCTGAACTTAAGCTATTGACTAGAGATGGGGGAGAACTTTGATTAGTTCTCATTAGAAGGCAAATCTTCCTAATCTGCATTTTCAAAGACAATCTGCGACCCGAGACACAAACATTCTCCAAAATTCACACATGTCTGAATTTTGCAATGCCGTTCTCCAGGCAACTAGTGTGCATGCTGAGATAAAGTGTCCACGAAAATGCATACTGTTAGTGAAAACAGGGGAAGGTGCGTTGCAAAAATGAGTACATCAGGCAGAACTGCTTGCAAACTTGTGTAAATTAGGTGGGATTTGTGTGAATTAGGTGTAAATTAGAGTTACAGCAGGGACGCGGGTGGCGCTGTGGGTTAAACCACAGAGCCTAGGACTTGCCAATCAGAAGGTCAGCAGTTCGAATCCCCGCGACGGGGTGAGCTCCTGTTGCTCGGTCCCTGCTCCTGCGAACCTAGCAGTTCGAAAGCACGTCAAAGTGCAAGCAGATAAATAGGTACCGCTCCAGTAGGAAGGTAAACGGCGTTTGCTCTGGTTCGCCAGAAGCGGCTTAGTCATGGTGGCCACATGACCTGGAAGCTGTACGCCGGCTCCCTCGGCGAGATGAGCGCCGCAACCCCAGAGTCGGGCACGACTGGACCTAATGGTCAGGGGTCCCTCTACCTTTACTAGAGTTACAGTGTCTGCTGCGGCTGTAGAGACCTATGCAGGAGAGACATGTTTTGTTGCAGCTGGGGCAGATGAAGGCGTCCATTTAGGCTGCTGCAGATGCACCATGGCATTTCTTCTTTCTGCAGCCATTCCTGCTCTGGTCACTGCTATAGATACATGACTTGACTGCTGTCTCCAGGCATTATGGTCATCTGAAAGGGATTCCCACATGGTAGGATTCATGTTGCCAGCCTGCATGTTAAGTTTGCAGACATCTTTGTTATGCAGAGTAAGTCCACCA